AAAAAACCCCCCCCCCCCCCCCCCCCCTCCTTTTTGGGCTTGGTGGGATCCCCTAGGTGAAACTCCTACAATAAAAAGGTACCCTTCAAAGAATACCGGAAAATCCCTTGCCAATAAAATGACCACCAATAAGATCATTCTTGTTACTAATACCGATAAAAAGAAGAAAAAAAATCAACAAAGGAAATTTTCTTTGCTCTCCGTAAGTAATTTTCCATAGTAATGCCTAAATGATGATATTATTATGGTATCTCTATCAGTTTTAAAAGATTAGCCAGAAAATGATTATTACAACAGGTGATAAGTCATGCTTGAACCATGGAGTGCCTATAGCCATGTTCACACAAACAGTATTCTTACTTTTGGTTGCAGCACAGTTAAATCGATCTTTCTAACCTTTTAGGTCAAAATACTGTTGAATTTTAATGGCAATCAGATTTCCCTTGTTTCAGAAGGTACTCCATTGTATTCCTACAATAGAATAATCTTTGCAGAGAGCTACGTGATATACACAAGGGATTGCCTCAGATTTAAAGTTGCTAATATATTGAAAAGATTGCATTCCAAATAACTGAGGTAAGCAACNGAATAATCTTTGCAGAGAGCTACGCGATATACACAAGGGATTGCCTCAGATTTTAAAGTTGCTAATATATTGAAAAGATTGCATTCCAAATAACTGAGATAAGCAAGTGGTAAGGCCTACACTTTTCCTCACCAAGATCCAAGACCAAAATGGCCTTTGAAAGAACAAAAAACTGCAACATATTACATTGATAAGGCGTTAATTCACATTTTTACACATTAAATCCATTAACAAGAAAAAAAAATTNGATCCAAGACCAAAATGGCCTTTGAAAGAACAAAAAACTGCAACATATTACATTGATAAGGCGTGAATTCACATTTTTACACATTAAATCCATAAACAAGAAAACAAATAAACACAAGTTCAGCACGTTGCTGTGTAATTGCTGCTCCAGAGCGCAATGAAGGTTAGGCAGTGTTCAATACTTGGTAGCGTTGGCTTCCACGTAGTTAAAGCTGTCATAAAATGAAGAAGCTCCCTGTTACATCATAAACTTGTAGATGTCACTTACTAAGGAAATTACAATGGCAGTGGTAAGTAAGTTCCTCTCAATTGGCGCAGCAACTTCAGTGGTGAGATTCAACCTTGCAGATTTTTAAATTTTATGCCAACTGTACAAACTGTTTTATGACTTGTAAATTTATATATTGTTCTCATGCGGCTCCCAAAAGTCATGGCAATGACCTAATTTGTAAGCAAGAGTGAGAGTGTCAATAGCCTTGTGTATGCATACCTGGGCACATCATAGGGGTAATTGCCCATGACCAGCTTCAGTCGACTAAAAGTGCCCAACCTCATGCCTATCAGAGGATCAACAAAGTCACAGGCATTTGGCAGCTTATCTTTATAGCATACCATGGATATCACCATCCTCCATGTACCAACATCAATAATATTAATTTCCTCTGGCCAAACTATCCAAAACTGCCCATTAAGAACTTTCTTGTCCCCTCTTGAACCAAACCATCCACATATTTGTTTATACTTAAAACATATCCCTCCAAAACTATCTCATCCAAAATAAATGATGTTTCCTCGAAATGCATCTCATCGCAAAATCCATCAAAAAGTGTCCCCTGTAGGTTACGACATCTGGAACACACATCTGTCTCCACATGTCTTCAAACAACTCAATTGCTTCCACCAATTTCCCTTCCCTACAAGGCCCACCAATGATCACAGTATAACTAATAACATCTGCCTCACACCCTTGTCCCTCCATTTCATTCAGAACATCCCATGCCAAATCAAAATCATTCTCACCGGAAAGCCCATAAATCACGGCAATATGCATCACTATATCGGGCTAGCACTCATTTGTTCCCATTTCCTCAAACATCCCAGAAACCTCTTGGTGGGACTCTAGCTGGCTTTATAGCCCCAGATCGACACGTGGGATAATGAAGCCGTTGCGATGTCCAAAAGGCGCCGAGGAGGTAAGCCGAGGTATGGTGACCCGGAGGAGCAGAGAACGACAGCTGACATCGTATTTAATACGATGTGACCTCTCATTTATGGCGGAATGAGTGATGGTGATAAGACAAATAAATGTGCGCCTGTAAGTACCTGCACTTTGGGAGTCTATGTCTACTATCATGATGGCTAAGTATTAATGGTTGATGTGCCGAGATGATACGATCGGCTCTCCCCGAGTAACTGTTCCCCCGAGTATTCAATGTGCAGTTGATGTTAGATGTCGATCGAAGGGATTTGGATACTCGGGGAAGGGCATAAATGTTCGGCATTTAGCCGAGCGCTCATCCCATCATCCTAGCATTTAGTAGGAGGAGACGTGAGTGGAGAACACTCATTGCGCGAGGAATGGTGTGTCAGATATGAAATGTCCAGATGGGACTGGAGGTCTTTGGCAATCATTGCTAATTCAGGTATAAATACTCCTCAGAAAGATGAATAATGGTACGCAAACTTAAACCAGAAAAAGATTATTTATTGAGCTAAAATCCTCGATCTTAGACTGATTTAAGCTTCGGAAGGGATAAGCTGGGTGTTCACCTGGCCCCCCTTTTCTGACCCTGTGGTTGTTTCAGGTTCACTAGGCTGAAGGTTGCTATCTCAAATTATTGCAGGAATTTTTCGTGCAATCTGATGCCATCTGTAGGAAACGAGAGCATTTTTCCCTGTAGCGATCGTCTGATGGTGAACACCCGATCTCAGGTTAAATGAACAAGTCTACGGATAAGGGACCAAAGCCCGTCCGACTTCCTATGGTTTTGGAACCTGGTCCATTAAGCCAGTCAGGTGGAGGGGAGCGTTCCTCACAACGAACGCTCCCTATGGATCAGGGCCTTGGGGGGCATGACCTCATGGCTTGTGATATCGTTGAGATGGTGGAGAAGCAGATGGACAAACGCATTAAGAAGCTAGAGAAGGAAAACGCCAAGGTCCTACGACGGCTTGACGATTTTGAGCAATCAGCACGCGCGCGCGGGCATAGTCGCGAGTACGTGGACCAGGCCCCCAGTTAAAACCTCTCTAGGCCTCCTTGGCATAGGCCCTCTAGGAAAGACTGGCTTAAGCACTCACCCGAGGGGCGCAACCGCCAAGGTGGGTTCTCGGCCCTCAAGGAAAAATCAGAATCGGGCCAAAAGATAAGTCTGTCTCGGTGAGACCTCCGCCGAGGGATACCCGAGGATATCAGAGCCGTCAAATCACAAGCAGAGTCCACACCCAGTAGGCCTCGAGAAGAAAGACACAAAGAGGATCCCAGGGTCCACCTCGGCGCTTATCGCAACCCTGAGCCCGAGGTTGATGCCGACGAAGTCATTTCACCATTCATTCAGGCTATTAGGGAGGCAGAAATGCCGAAGAAGTTCACCGTCCCACGGTTCAAAATTTACGATGGGAAGACCGACCCCGAGAGTCACTTGCGGCAATACAAACAATTGATGTTCATATACGATACTGATCAAAGGGTGTTGTGCCGAGTTTTTCTCATAAGCCTGGGGGACACAGGCATGCGATGGTACGAGAACTTAGCTCCTGAAAACGTCAGGTCCTGGAGACAATTGACGGAGCTCTTCATAGCTCGATTCATCAGCAACAGTAAGAAATCGAAGGACATCGGTGCTCTATTGACGCTTAGGCGANCTGAAAACGTCAGGTCCTGGAGACAATTGACGGAGCTCTTCATAGCTCGATTCATCACCAACAGTAAGAAATCGAAGGACATCGGTGCTCTATTGACGCTTAGGCGGAAAGGAGGGGAGTCCCTTCGATAATATGTCATCCGATATTGCGATGAAGTTAACGAGGTAGAGGCATGTTCGAAAGTACTCGCAGCGGCGTCATTTAGGCTGGGGCTGTCTCGGGACATTGATTTGTACAAGTCACTGACCAAAAAGACTTCAGCGGATATGAAGAATTTGATGGCCCGGATCAACAAATATGCCCGAATGGAGGAAAAATCCAGCGTGCCCGAGAACAGATTCTCGGTGCCGAGAAAGAGAGAGAAAGAACAACCAGCCCGAAAGGGTGGGCCTATTCTGCCCCCAACTCGTCTGTCCTTCTAGGGGGTGAACATGGTCTTTAAAGAGCCCATTTACAAGATGCTTCCCAATATTAAAAACAAACCCTACTTCAAGTGGCCCCCGAAGATGATAGGAGATCCGTCAATGAGGAATGCGGCTTTTCGTTGTTCGTATCATAGAGACGTAGGCCATTTGACAGAGGATTGCAAGGTCTACAAATCATTCCTTGAACAACTGGTGTGAGACGGGCATCTTGGGGAATTCATCGAGAGAAGGGATCCTGGAGGATAGGCGAGGGAGAGAGCCGAAGTGTTAGTTGAGGTGGCACTCGTGATTGATGTTATTCACGCCTGCACTGTTGAAAGGCCTACGTATAACTCCCTTCGCACCGAGTTACAGAATGTCTCTCAAGTAGTTAGGGTGGAAAAGAGGGGTGAAGAGTGACCCCCCCAAGAAGCCTCGAGAAAGTATCGAGATTATTCAGTTTTTCGATGCTAACCTCGGCGGGGTGGTCTTTCCCCATGAGGATGCGTTGGTGATCACTTTGCAGGTCGAGAAGTTCGATGTCAAAAGGATCTTGGTAGACTCGGGCAGTTCTTCCGAGGTGATGTATGACCATCTCTTCCGCAAGATGGGATTCTCACAAAGGGATCTGGAACCCGTAAAGACCCCCCTCATTGGTTTCAATGGTTCCAGCGCCCTCCCTCTTGGTGTGTGCGGAGATAGTGACCACCCCAGTGGAGTTTGTGGTAGTAGACTCCGACTCCCCATACAACGCTATTATGGGAAGGTCATGGTTGCATACGATGAAGGCGGTCTACTCGTCCTATCACTAGAAGATAAAGTTCCTTACACCACAGGGCATAATGGAAGTTCGGGGTGATCAGGCATCGGTGAAAAGTTGTTTCTATGTCGCGGTGAAGACAGGAGTTAGCGGCCGAAGTCATGAACGTGATCCCGACACGGTGGTTGCCAAATAGCAATCACAGAATGGTCACCCGGAAGTTGATGAGCCCATTATAGAGCCAGTTGACCGGTCTACTGAGGCCTTGGTCAAGATCTTTCTGAGCCCAGATAGTGATGATAAGTACTTTTTGATAGGCGAGTCACTCAGCGACGCGGAGAAAAACGATATGGCCTAGTTCCTACGCTGGAATGTTGATGTCTTTGCATGGACCCAGATTGAGATGACGGGGATAAACGCCAAGGTGATGACTCATCGGCTCCATGTGGACCCCTCGTTCAAACCCGTTAGGCAGAAGGCCCGAAGAACGGCGCCTCATCATGCTAAGGTTGTAGATGAAGGGGTGGATAAGTTATTAGGGGCAGGTTCCATCAAGGAGGTACAGTTCCCTCAGTGGTTATCCAACATCGTGTGCGCCAAGAAGAAAGAGGGGAAATAGCGAGTTTGCGTGAATTTCGCGGACCTGAACAAAGTCTGCCCCAAGGACGAGTACCCATTGTTCAAGGTTGATCAACTGGTAGATGCAACAGCCGGCCACAAGCGAATCACCTTTATGGATGCTTGGGCAAGATATTACCAGATTCTCTTACATGAATCGGATCATGAGAAAACGGCGTTCATTACACTCCGGGGGATCTACTGTTACAAGGTGATGCCTTTTGGGTTGAAGAATACGGGGGTGACTTACCAACGTTTGATGAATAAAATTTTCAAGGATCAGCTAGGCGAAACTATGGAGGTGTACATTGATGACATGTTGGTCAAGAGCAGACAGAGCGTCGACCATCTCTATGATCTCGGGGTGACGTTCGTCATCCTCCGGAAGTATAGCTTGAAACTGAACGCCTCGAAATGCACTTTTGGGGTGAGCTTGGAAATTTTTTGGGGTATTTAGTTACTCATAGGGGTATCGAGGCAAACCCCGAGCAGATACAAGCGATCCAGAATGTCCGGGCGCGAAGGACCATTAAGGATATCCAGAAGTTGACAGGGATGTTGGCAGCCCTTAACCGATTTATTTCCAAATCTTCTGATAAGTACAGACCATTTTTTACCAAATTGAAGGGGGCAGCTAAAGGAGTATAGGATGAAGAATGTGGGCGAGCTCTTGAGGGAATCAAGTAGTACTTGAAACATCCTCCAACCTTATCCGTCCTGGCGGCTGGAGAGGTACTTAGCCTCTACTTGTCGGTATCTCAAGAAGCCGTGAGTGGAGCATTGGTTAGAGATAGCGAAGGAGCCCAAAGACCCGTATACTTCGTAAGCAAGACTTTGCTCGACGCCGAGACAAGGTACTCTCCAATGGAGAAATCAGTTTTAGCATTGATAGTCTCAGTGAGGAAGCTTTGACACTATTTCCAAGCTCACGCCATAGACGTCCTGACAGATCAGCCTCTCAAGCCAATCCTCCACAGGGCTGATATTTCTGGGAGGGTTGCCAAATGGGTTGTAGAGCTTGGGGAGTTCGAGATTAGGTACAAACCTCGTACTTTGATAAAAGGACAGGTCTTGGCAGATTTTATCGTCGAATTCTCTGCGTCCGAGCCTCCACCAATGACATAGGCTCTAAGAGAGGACGTGTGGGATCTTCATGTTGAAGGGGGCAGGAATAGGTATCGTGCTGGTCAACTCAGAAGGATTCGTCATAGAAAGGACAATCAGATTAATGTTCAAAGCGTCTAATAACGAAGCCGAGTATGAGGCGTTGCTAGCAGGTCTGGATGATGCATGTTTGATCGGGGTCAGACACCTTTGAGTCTTTTGCGATTCCCAGTAGGTTATGAACTAGGTAAATGGGGACTTCGAGGTCCGAGACCGTAGAATGAAGGCGTATCTTGAAAG